TTCTGTTACTCGTCGCCCGACGTTCAGAGCGCACACGTACACGGACGCATATACGGAGCTTTCCATTTCCATATGCTAGCAAACGGCCCACCTCTCTGGCCTATGAAATTGACCCGCGAGCAATCGTCCATTTTCTTCGCCGGTCGCGGCGAGCCGTATGTCCCGCCCGTCGCGTCGCGCGCTCTAATTTGTCCAACTAATTTTATTAATATCTCGAAATTTTACGTGGTTGTTTGAAAAATGACCTCTACAATTTTTGTTCAGTTTTATCTGTTCTACTTATATTTTTCTTTTGGCATGTCTTATGCGGGACACCCTGTATATATATATATATATATATGCCGGTATTCATAGTTGGATCTTATTTTTAAGACTGCTTAAGTTCATCTTCAGATACTCCGTAGCCAATGAAATGATCCGTTCATCATCTGAAGATAAACTTAAGACGATCTTAAATATAAGATCTGACTATGAATACCGGCCATATACCCTCACAGCACCGAACATTGCAATAAGATTATAGATAGGTTACAAGCTTAGGGTGCTTTTTCACGTGTCGTACGACAAGCACTTCGGATACTTTTATTGGTGGACGAATAGAGTATTTCTAGGTTCTTTGTTCGTCAACCAATGAATGTATCCAAAAAGCTTATCGTATGACACGTGAAATATCAGCCTTACACATTTTAATGAGCATGTTACTGCAATCTGCCATTAACCTTACAAGATAACCTTACATTGTAATATTGTCATGAAGTTAATATAATCTTTAATATTTCAGCAAACTTACTGTAATTACTTTACTTTCTGTGTATCTTAAAAATACTACACAATTTAAATATAGTTTATTAATAATCACTCAATTGTATATGCAACTTTTTCATATATAAAAATTTTTTTATTAAAAAAGTAAATATAACTAAATTAAATTAAAATATTAATAATAAAATTAACTTTTGGTTGTATTCAAATTTGGTCGCTTCAAATGCTTTAGTTTATATATATACAGGGTATTTTTTTTAACTTGAGACTGCTAAATATATCGAAAAATAAGCATTGTACGACAAAAATGTCCCAAATAAACCCTCAATAGTTTCGAGGGCGCAATTCAATCCCACAAAAATTATCCACCTCCCGCCTTCTGGAGATGGGGCGGGAGGTAACTTTGAAATCTTAAATGGGAACCCCTACTTTTTATTACAGATACGGATTCTACATCCAAAAACACGTAACTTTTGTCTGAACTTTTTCTTTCTATTTCTGATAGATGGCGCTGCATTCGGCAAAAATTGGGTAACCTTCGTTTTTTTCAAAGGGAATCCCCTATAATGATGTCGAAAAAAAGTAACTTTTGTCGGAAACATATTTTTTCGAATTATCGTAAATATCTACGATAATTTTTTATCCGTTTAACACTAAATTTTGAAAGATCGTGAGTGGACCATTTGGAAATGACCACGTCGAAATGACGACTAAAACCTCTTGAATTTTTAACATCATCATTTGTATAACATTTGTAAAGGTCAAGGCCATTGGAGATTGTAACTTTTATTTTCATTTTTTAGTTAAAACGAATAAAAAATTATCATAGATATTTACGATAATTCGAAAAAACATGTTTCCGACAAAAGTTACCTTTCTTCGACGTAGCGTCATTATAGGAGATTCCCTTTGAAGAAAACGAAGGTTACCCAATTTTCGCCAAATGCAGCGCCATCTATCAGAAATAGAAAAAAAAAGTTCAGACAAAAAAAGTTACGTGTTTTTGGATGTAGAATCCGTATCTGTAATAAAAAGTAGGGGTTCCCATTTAAGATTTCAAAGTTACCCCCCGCCCCATCCCAAGAAGGCGGGAGGTGAATAATTTTTGTGGGATTGAATTGCGTCCTCGAAACTATTGAGGGTTTATTTGGGACATTTTTGTCGTACAATGCTTATTTTTCGAGATATTTAGCAGTCTCAAGTTAAAAAAAAC